ACTCCCCATCTATAAATAGAGGGGAGTTTGATGAATCAAAGCACACCAAAATACAACAATATTCAAGAAGAAAAAGAGAGAGTGAGCTAAAATTAATTTAGCCTTTGTGTGTATTTTTGAGTTGTGAGTTGTGAATAAGGTTGAGAGTGTTTTGCAAACACGAGTGTATTTTTTTCTTCCTAATAAAATATCTGCAGTAGTCCGGAGACGTATTCATTATTGGCCGAACTCCGTTATCAATTTGGTGTGTCCAATTTTTTATTTTTATTTTGCTTCTTGTCAAATAAAGGAGGCGCAACCCCTTTTTGACTCAACAGTACGCCTTTGAGGCCTCCGCGTACCCCACGGAATAACGTGTACACTCTGCATTTTTGGGGAGCGGAGGGAGTTGGAAAATTCGTCCCGTGACAGGGTTGGCCACGTGGATTTGGGGCAAGGGTTTCCAATACGTGTACTCGAGGATGAGGCCGTTGCAGCTAGTCTCTAACCCATATCTGAATTTGTAAGCGTAGTAGTTGGATACCGTGACACGGCCCTGTTTCATAGACACGAAAACCGCGCGCTGGGAGGGATGTTCATAATCACATGTTGGGGCGTAATTGAATCGAAAGAATAGGCCGTATTCGTCAGTTTGCCGGAGGTGAAGGTTTACGAATTTCTCGGAGCGGATCGTGCGGTAGTACAGGCTACGGCAGGCTAGACTTGCCCTGTAAATGTCTTCAGCAGAGAGGTTAAACAGGATCTTGAAGAGCAGATCATCGGGAAAGGAAATTAGAAGACTGTTTTGGGCACAAGCGACTGCTTGCTTCTTGCCCTCCACTTCAATTTCGCCAGACCAAGGGCGGCGGAAGATTGGTTTCATTGTGGTTTTCTTGTGCAACCAAATCTCTCTCTCTCTCTCTCTCTATATATATATATATATATAAAGAGGAAGAACATATCATTTAATTATATTATCATGCATTATATTTTATTATCCCTCCAAAATTTTCAACATTCAATTTCATTTTTAAGTTATAAAATAACTTGCTTGAATATCATATATTATGGGAATAAACCAATGAAGGGAGTTACAAAATTGTACTCAAATTTTAAGTCACACCCACTCATAAAAATGGCCGGATGTATTAGCATAAAGAAAATAACGGTCCTTCCATAACAATTACTTGATCAAAATTAATTTTGAGAATTATTTTCTTAATTCATATTTTTTCATGAATTAGATTATAATTTATTTTTATTTTTATTATATTGTTATCTTTTTAAAGTATTCTTCTCTGTGTAAATGCACAGGTTAATTAACTATATAATATATGAAAATAGGACTAAATAGCCATTAGCTTGTGAGAAAAATAAATTTAGCCAAAAGAATTTGAGTTATTTTTTGACTTAAAATACCTCCATCTTTTGAAGAAATACCCCATAAGTATTTTTTAAAGAAAGTAATTAAAATAACTTTTCTAAAAGCAAACTAGTACGAATCTCGTACGATGCAATTGTAAATAGATTATTATTAACTCAGCCAGCAATGAAAAATTTCCAGTTTTGGTTCATTTTTTCGAGTGATTAGATCTTTGTGGAACATATTTATTTGTTAGTCATTGCAAACTAGAAACTATAAAGATGTTGAATGTTAATACACAAGGTCCCACATCAGAAAAACACCAAACAAATTGAGTGTTTCCGATGAACCAATACAGCTTTACAAGGCACATGCAAGTTTCAATACAAAGAAAACCTCAATACAAAGATATATGAACGAATTGAGTGTTTTCGATGAACCAAACGAATTGAGTGTTTTCGACACTTACAACTTTTATGTTTTAAGGAAACAATGACTGACCTATAATTTACCACAAATTCGCCAAAAAGCACATGCAAGTTTCAATCCAAAGATATCTATACTTGGGACCTAAATTTGGGTAACATTTATTGTTTTGGAATGTAGTGGGCATACATAATTGAGGTTCATGGCTTAGTTTATTCATCCTTGTAGCAGAGCCTGTTGGACATACAGAGTCCCACATGCAAAACAGCAGGTCCCAATGCCTGTTTCTATAAATATTACAATTTCCAAGATTTAGCACATCACACCCCTTCAGAAAGGAA